TCTAGTAAATAGTTCCAATAAGCTGTCGTATCCACTCGTCTTCAACATTCATGTGTCGCTAAACGTTTCCATACAAACTTGATCCAACCACGAGGCTTCAACAAAACGACAATCGGACGACGCGAGTTATCCCAACCCCAACTGCATTCCATAAAAATTATTTATTTATATGAAAAGGAGAAAGGCTTTTTCTATTAAATTTTATATAACAGAGTTAACTACATTCTTCCTCTTTAACATCGATCCCCGCCAGTTTCTACAATATAATCGGTGGAAAAAATCATATGCCTATAAAGATGCCCTCTGATGCACTCTCTGTATACTTTGCGCTATGAGTCCGATTACACCTTTTAACGTTACACTTCTATTTAATATAAAATATTTATTATTATTATTTTTTTTTTTCAAATATAAAATATAAGCACACATTTGCACTTTTAATCATTCCTAGGCATTGAAAATAATCATCGTTATTATCTGCCTTTGAATTGAATGGAATTTTGGCTTTTGAAATGCAAAACTGATGAGATACAGCAAATATAATTGATCAATTTTTTCTTGTTGTATAAATTTTTAATATAACAAAAATATGTAAACAAAATGTATGCAGATATATATATATATATATATATATATATATATATATAGATTAGCTTGTGTTTTGTGAAAAAAAATTGAAATATTAGTAGCAACCGTCGTCATAGGATATTTTACGGCTTATGTTAGTGTTCACATATTGGTGAGAGTATTGACTTCATATATGTCATATGAAGAGAAGTATTAAACGCGAAGCATACGAGCGATTATGTTTATTTATATTTCAATTTAAAGAATGAAAACTTTATAATAATAAAAAAAGTATAAAAAACTAAGTCAATAGAACTTTGGGTCGTTTATCTCCACTTTTCCGTCTGTCTTCAATTCGAAGACTGATACGACTACATATATACATGAACGGGAAAAAATGCATGAGTTCTTTTTCAGTGCCAGCACTGCTATTAAATTTTCATAAACAACTGAGGTGATAAGCCATGAGTTTTAAACGAAACGACAATATAACAGACTGACGCCAATACAGATGAACCGACCGACGTACAGGACTATTTGTTGCCAAGACTATGCAATTATTTTTTTATCAGTTTACAAATTCATATAAAGACATTGACTGTTGTGGAAAGAAAATTTGATAATATAAATAAAATAGAATTATACTCATATGTCAGAGAGTTCATACAAGTATTTTCACAATGGGCATACAAAATTACACAGTCCATAATGGTGACCTGTCAATAAAACATTGGTAAAAAATCTGCAATAAATAACATAAAGTATTGAATAGTATTGAATATTAAAGTATATATATTATTATATTGAAGTAAAGTATATAAAGTATATAAGTCACAATTTATATCTCTCTTAATTAGAAATTCAAAAAACATATAGATGATCTTTCACCTCCATTAGTTTAACTAAGCAATAATCAAATTTTTGAAATATTCATAATTTCAATATTCTGAGCAATTTGCTGCACTGCATTATATATCGATATAATTTGATTCTCCGGATATCATATATCATATTTTTAGATTGTTATTACCTCGTGCTTTACTGCTTTATTGCTTTGTGAATTGTGAATTGTTTATATTGACGGTACTAATTATCAAGGCTTCGTATATATGCTTAGGAGATTCTAACACCTCGTTGTAGTCGTTCTAGCTAGATATAAGTTTTCATTGGCCTTTGAAGAGTCTGCTTCATGCACTCTCTTTGCTATAATGTTGCGGAAATAGTTACTAACTTTGGAGAGTCTGCCTCAAGCGCTCTCTTTGCTATAATGTTGCGGAAATAGTTACTAACATTTAGTCATAGCACTTGATAAAGTTCCACGGAGCGTAGAACTGACATTGTTGCAATCTTGCTTTGTATTAGTATATTGTCCCTTCTACACAGGTATCCATTAAAAGAATTTTATCAATATAACATATCTTGAAGGGAATATATGTAGTTCCCTAATTATTCTATATTATATATCAAATTTTTTATACATATAAAGGAAATCATTGTATTCATATTCCGCACTCACCGTTCAATACAGTGTGCAATAATATTCTGTTAACATTTGATAAAATTCTTAGATTTGTTGTTGTTGGAAACCATATTTATTGCTAATAAAATACGAAATCTGAGCACATTGAAAACGAATCAAATACATTGACTTATAAATTTCTTCTTTTTATGAGAAATTAGCCTTAATACGAAAATATGTTTTAATTTGAGTGGAACGGTTTGAGGAGTTCACAGGCATTCAAGTGAGTGCTTAAGCTTTTGTTTGGTGTTTTTTTAAGTGTCACAAATCACAAATTTAATTGAATCATTGCTCTGTGGCATTGGATTCGAATTCGTCTGGTATGTAGAAGTGCACATTATGCCTATTTTCCTTTGTGAATTTTAAGAAAATCGTACAATTGCAAAATTCTTTTTGTTGTGTAAATAATTCGTCTCATTGCTGCGACTCAGCTGCATACGTCTGTGAAGTGGCATGTACTTCAGTGCCGCGGTATATAAATATTATAACAATCCAATAGTCTATTTCGTGTTAATCCATCGTCGTGATTTAAGCTTCTTTACAACGCCTGACCTTTGGGAAAAGTGTTTTATATTTATTACTTAAACGTTGGATAGCACATGATGATATGTTGCTCATCTTCGTGAGATGCGCATAAAATAGAATAATCAAGATCTGATCGAATTATGAACATAATTGACCATAAGCACTGCAAATGTTTAATAATGTACTTTTAAAAAATCGTTAATTATTTTTATGTAATATAAATAGTTAATTGCAGCATATAATTGTATATATATAGTCGTAGGTTAATAATCATTACCACGAGTCTTGTTTGTACTGTGATTACTAATTTGATTATTTGTAATACAAGTCCAAAGTCATGGTGCTTCTATCTCAAGTATCGGAATAATGTGCTCAAGTATGAGTTTCTCTCTTGGTGACAACAATAAGGACCAATTAAACAATGAGCAATGCGATTCTCCGGCCAGGATACTGAAAGTGTTTCTCATTGCAGTAATAAAGGCAAATGTTCTTTGCCAGTGAAAGCAATAATTTTGCTACTTGTACGATATTCTATATACGGAATTTCTCACTAAATACTAAAGTTTAAATTCTGTCTAGAGCATCTAGTCTTTATTGATCACACGCACAATTATTATTATATCGGTAAATAGAAACTAATATTGAAGCCATTTGAAGGTTAACAAATAAAAAGTTAAAAGGATATATGATTATAAGAAATTAAAAATATAAAGAAGAGGTTCTCACTGATGTTGTCAAGAATGCTGAAGACAATTAGATGATTATTATAAATCAAATAACCAGCGGTTAGTTTAATTTAAATAAATATCTTAACTTTAATAATTTAAAATAAGACGTGTAAATTAACGAAAGAAATTAAAACAAGAAAGAACAGCTTGGTATGATCAAAATTTGTTCCCATTTAAAATGAACCAAACTTTGCTGATACCTATATGAGGTATAGCCGACTGTGATAAATGATTTTATGCCAATTACTTAATAGTTTTTTTCCATACTTATAAATATGAAGCTGGTGGTCATTAAAGTCATAGTTTTGATATAGATTATGAACTTGTGTTGCTTCCTTTTTCGATCTTTAACTTAACAATTTATAGAGTATTAAATGACACATAAGACCATAAGACCATAAATTGTCACTGTTGTAAACCATTTGGAAGTTTAAGTTATCTTTAATTAGCTGACCCGTGCTTGTTAAACTTATTTAGACTGTATTGTGACGTAAGTCATGGAACGCACCCAATATCAATTATCTATTATATCGGTATGTGCTTCATAGACTACGCAAAAACATTTTTTTTAGCACATTTGCAAGAGATTAATGTCTGAAGTACTTGGGATGTTGGATTAGCGAAAGCAGGCAAAGTAACAAAGAAATTTGATTCCAAATAGAATCCACAATAACAGCTTTTTATTTATAAAATAAAAATTTTGAAATGAACATCAAGCTTTGTTTGCGCTATCTCAGATGTTATATCTGATCTATAGTATACAGATCTGAGGTTAATTATTGCTTAGTCTGATGATGTGATAAACAATAATCTAGTCAAGGTGTAGAGAGGGGTTTTGAAGAAACGTCGAGTTAAAAAAGAGTATAAGTGCTTAAGTACACTAGCTCAAAGCAGCTACAACATAATATTTATATTGTATAAACAAAATCAATTAAATTAAAATATATTTTTTAGTGAATTATTGTATATGTGATTCCATACATTCGGCTGAAAGAGTTCACAAGTAAAGTAAAAGAAACATACTTTGTTCAATTTTCTTGCAAACAACAAAACTAAAATCGCGTGTACGATCGACCGCTGGTAATTGTTTGTGAAGAGTACCATAGAATATATATTCACCCATTTCTATAACTATCAATATATATAATTTCGATTACTTTGCTTTTATCCCTTTTGATTACATCCCTTTTCTGACGGCCGTATCCACTTTATGCCCACGCATGATGTTATAAATTTTCAATCATTTAATTTAATTTTATTATTGTACATTGTACCTACAATATATTTTATTTTCTTACATACAACCACCCCCTCATTCTCTTCGTAGAAAAATCCTTAACTCCAGCCAGCCTTTCAAACAGACGGTATAAACTTAGTTATAACCAAAATAATCTAAAATATAAAACTTATTAAGTATAAGTTTATATAAAAAAGTTCATATGAAAAAAAAGCTAAAATCCTTAATTATTATTATGGAAACTAAAGGCAGTAGACATCGTAGACATCCGTCGTAAACTTGCAAAATCTTCCCATGTCGATACATATATTATACCCGTACATTATTTTTATTTACTCATACATTTGAAAGTCTTTTATAGTTAATGATATGCTAACCTTTACTTAAGTTTGATCGATAAAATTTTAATTATTTCTGATTTTAGGATTAACTGCGGATATTAATTGGCAGCTGAAATAACAGTAGCGCGTCAAACGACAAAACTAAAGCGCGTCGCTACAGTACCAATGCATAAATGTGAATAAAAACGAAACATATCAAAATTTAATGTATTCGAAATACAATAAAACTAATCAAAACATAGAAGCTTCCATTTACGAGTACGTTATCTAATGGATCCATATCATCAGATAAGGCATCACGTGAGTTTTGTTTATTTATATAAGTTAATATATTTAGAAACTATATTGTTTATTTTGCATTGTTTTTGTTTATTTTCAGTATCCGCCGGCCAGACCCGAATTGCACCAGAAATGCAATCGTGGCTCACATTCAAGTGATACGAGCTCAGCTTATAGTGGCAGTGATACCATGGCTTCAGTTTACGGTTCGTCGTTGGAGGCTGAGGAGATTGATCTCTCCGGTCTTGTTGAATCAGTTGTCGATTCAGATGAAGAAGATTTGGCAGAGAGCATGGATGTAAGAAAATGTTGCAATTAACAAAAATATTGAAATTTAATATGAATTCATTTTTTACAGAGTTTAAATGTACGTGATGCAGTAAGAGATTGTCTTGAAAAGGATCCGTCCGAACGCACTGAAGAAGATGTTGAAATTTTACTTGAATTCACGCAAGGTTTAAAAGCCTTCACAAATATAACTCTGGCAGTGCGTCGTGCTTTGTGCTCTGTGATGGTATTTGCAGTTGTTGATAAAGCTGGTACGATTGTTATGTCTGATGGGGAAGAGTTAGATTCGTGGTCAGTACTTATTAATGGTGCAGTAGAAATAGAGCACACAAATAGTAACAGAGAAGAATTACAAATGGGCGATTCTTTTGGTATTCTACCAACAATGGATAAGTTATATCATCGCGGCGTTATGCGCACAAAATGTGATGATTGCCAATTTGTATGTATTACACAAACTGATTACTATCGCATACAGCACCAAGGTGAGGAAAATACGCGTCGGCACGAGGATGAAGAAGGTCGTATTGTTATGGTAACGGAATTGCGGCAAATCGGTAGTAATGAGCATGCAGGCAGTAGTAGTACTGGCACAAGTTCCACTAAACGAGGACATGTTGTAATACGAGGAACACCTGAGCGTTTGCTTTTGCAGTTGGTAGAAGAAAATTCCATGACTGATCCCACTTACGTAGAGGATTTCTTACTAACACATAGAATTTTTATCAAAAACCCACAAGAAGTTACCCAGAAATTATTAGCTTGGTTTGAGAATGACGGTGAACCGCCAAAAGGTAGCACTGCTACTGCTCAAGAAATAAGAGATCGTGTTACACGCGTAGTTTTGCTATGGGTTAACAATCATTTTACTGACTTCGAAGCTGATTATGAGATGATGGAGTTTTTGGAAATTTTCGAAGCTGGTTTGGAACGGAAGAAGTTACTTAGCCAATTGCGTTTATTACATATTGCATGCGCTGCTAAAGCACGTATGCGTTCATGTACATTAACTCGTTCATCACGTGATGAATCCTTGAATTTTAAAATAATTGGCGGCTATGAAATGCGTGGTGCGACTGCTTCTAGCGGCGGTTGTGGCATATACATATCACATGTTGAACAAACTTCCAAGGCGCAAGATGTCGGCCTGAAACGCGGAGATCAAATACACGAGGTAAACGGACAATCATTTGAGCATGTAACTAGCAAACGTGCAATGGAAATACTGATGAGTAGCACACATCTCAGTATAGCAGTCAAAAGCAATCTGTTAGGCTTCAAAGAAATGATGCAAGCTGTGGAAATGGGAGGTGCATTAGGCTGTAATTCCAATAGTGGCGGCTCTGTGGGTTCGAACATAGCCAGATCTTTGCGTAGCCCAAGGCGTATTTGTGCTAATGACATAGCAAAACTACACGGCCGTTCAGAATCTACAACAGATGACTTATCAACAAATCGTGCACATATTGTGCGCCTTAGTTCGGTTGATATGCTATTGCATGCAACCGCAATTGATCAAACAGATTGCTGCGTTGCTACACCCACTACACCATCAGTAATTGTGCAAACAGGTGGGAATTTAGCTACAAACTTTATGAACAATATACTACAAAGTGTAAATTCGTCAGCTAAAAAAGAAGCTAATATGCAGTCAAACTGTGATCCGAACTCCAAAGGTGGTGGCTTTATGACACTAGCACCAAAAAGACGCCTGCAAAAAGCGCTTGCCAAAATGAATCTATTGCACAAAAATGTGAGTGGCTTGCAACAATCGAGTCTAAACGATTCAAGTGATGCGCTCTTGAATAGTGGAGGCAACGGGAATGACTGTATACCACAAAAATCAAAAGTTACTTCCACTTCTTCATCTAGCTCTGGTTCGAATGGTGGACGACTTTATCAGTCACAATCAAATCCAGATTTGACTTCGTCACTTTGTTATGAGGACACAACATCTGTAGCTGGTAATTATTTGTCAGCATCTGTGCATCGTCCCTCAGCCGCTTCAACAGCAACTTCAGCAATGCTACCCGATTATCCTGAACACGTGCTCAAAGTTTTCAAAGCAGATCAGACCTGTAAATATTTACTTATCAATAAAGAAACAACTGCGCACGAAGTAGTGATGTTAGCATTACAAGAATTTGGCATTCACGATCCAAGTTCGAATTTTTCATTATGTGAAGTGAGCGTAGGCGAAGGTGGTATGGTGAAACAGCGTCGCTTACCTGATCAACTACAAAATTTAGCTGAACGAATAGGATTCGCTGCGCGCTACTATTTAAAAACTAACGGTATAACTGAAACTCTTGTACCAGATGATCTAGCGTTAGAGCTTGTACGGGAATCTAGTGTACACTTTCTTCAGCTCAATGCTTACGAACTGGCTATACAACTGACATTGCAAGATTTTGCTATATTCCGGCAAATCGAGTCAACAGAATATGTTGATGATTTGTTTGAATTGCAAACAAAGTATGGCGTTCCAATGTTAAGTAAGTTTGCCGAACTGGTAAATCGTGAAATGTTCTGGGTGGTGACTGAAATATGTGGCGAGCATAATATTGTACGTCGTATGAAAATTGTTAAACAATTTATAAAAATTGCTCGTCATTGCAAAGAGTGTCGTAATTTTAACTCTATGTTTGCTATAATATCTGGCTTGGGTCATGCGGCGGTGTCACGATTAAGACAAACGTGGGAAAAATTACCAACGAAATATCAACGTCTTTTTTCTGATTTACAAGATCTAATGGACCCCTCACGTAACATGTCTAAATATCGACAGTTGGTTTCATCGGAGCTCATAGCGCAACATCCCATTATACCTTTCTATCCGATAGTTAAAAAAGATCTCACATTTATACATCTCGGCAATGATACACGCGTTGATAGTTTAATTAATTTTGAAAAATTACGAATGATTGCCAAAGAAGTACGTTTGCTAACGCATATGTGTTCTTCCCCCTACGACCTTTTAGCAATTCTTGAATTAAAAGGTCAATCACCTTCCAATGCCATGTTTTCCTTAAATCAGATGTCCGCATCACAAGGCAATGCGGGTACAAATACAATAATCGCTGCTAATGCTGGCCAAGCGACAATAAAACGTAGAAAAAAATCTGCTGCCGCCCCGAATCCCAAAAAAATGTTCGAAGAAGCTCAAATGGTACGACGCGTTAAAGCTTACCTAAATAATCTCAAAATCATCAACGATGAGGATATCTTACATAAATTTTCACTCGAATGTGAGCCAGCGAATAACACACAATTCTCGAGCTCTCAAAATCACGGCAATTCCTCATCACGCAGTGGTGATCAATTAAGCATATATTCACATACATCCTCCTCATCAGCACCAAATTCATCGCTTTCATTAAGAAAACGTCATCCCTCATCACCTACGCTTTCAACCACCAGTTCTACTAGCTCAACAAGTGATCACAATCGACGCAATGTCAACAGCAATTGTCCTAAATTTGGTACCGCCTCACCGCAAGCTGTGAACAAAATACTATCATTATCGGAGTCAACTAAAATTCGACCGCATCAACCATTCACAAGACATTCAGGCATGCCTGGCCTACCGTTGCTTAGCAATTCACATCATACACACACACATGCATTCCCCACGTCAGCAGGCGTAACATTGTCTTCAACAGCGACTACTCCTAGTCCGTGTACGCACCGACGCTTAGCTTCCGGTAGCAATTCAATTCCAAGTAAGTTTAAAAATTATTTCCAATAATATGATGCTAAAGATATCTTTGTTCTCGCACTGCATAGGTGGTGTGATGCCAGTGCGTTCGATACATGAACGTTCGCACTCTGATACACCTACACCACCATTACCTTCCGTTGATCTATCAGTCGAAAGTAGCAGTGTTACCACTTTTCGAGACTTACCCTTACGGAAATCTGTGACTTCAGGTAAAAATACAAATACTCCAAATACTCTAATGTTTTAGTTTGAAAATTGAATACATATTTAGTTTAATTTTGTGATTTTAATTGTTTAATTTAGTTCTAATGCTTCCTAAATTAACTAACTAAACATTTGAACAATAAACGTTGCGATTGCATTAACCATTTTGGAAAAAATTAATAGGTTTTGGTTGTTTAAAGTAGTAGTTTTTATTTTTTTTTATTTTTGTTATTTTGAAGTTGCCGGTGTCGGAAAGTTATGCGCTTTTAATGATTTGTATGGCATCAAATAGTGCATTTTTCAAATTTAATTTTTCTTAAATTTGAATTTAATTGGAAGATTAAATTTTGACTGTAAGACACAATAGTTGAACTATCGATGAACCACATTAGAGCCAATGGGTGCTTTAACTTTTTACTTTTGTTAAATTGTAGTCACTTTTTATAGGTAAAAACAACTTTTGTCAATGTAAATGTTAGTTGTTGTAACAAGCATTGTTATTGTTGTAACAGTTTGGCGTCGCTTTATTAATGGAATCCGTTAATTGGTACTGAAAACAAAGTTTCTAAATTTTGAAAAGTTTATAATTTTGGCCCATCTTTATGAACATTTCCACCACAGTGATTTAATATCAACTAGTATCTCATAGCGTTTTTTTCATAGTTCATTTAATTCGAAACTATTATTTAAAACAAATATGGATGCAATTCCTGTAAAACTAGTTCCGTTAAATCATATCATATCATATCATTATTGCTAATACACTTACTGTTTTTGTGTTTTAGATACATCAACCGACACTTCCTTTTTTCAACAATATTTATCTCAAGCAATTTTTTTGCAGTTACATTTCGCTCCAGAATACAAATCCTTCTCTTCGTAATTCAAATAATATTAAACTATGTTCTCTATTGAAGAGTATAAAAAAGGCAAACGGACTCTAAACTAATCCAAAAATTCGATTAATTCCTAAGACCACTGATGGTGAGTACTTGGCAATACTCGAAACAGCGTTGTATGGTCAGCCAAATTTCAATAAATTAAAATCAATTTTTGTCCTTGTCTTTTCTTTGCTTTTCGAATCCGTCTAACTTTTAAATAGTTTCTTTAGGAAAATGAAAAAATAGAAGAACTTATTTCTTGCTATTCTCTGTAATTAAATGTGTGATCTGTTTTCAGTTTTAGTTTGAGTATACATTCAGTTGAAGACGTCAGCTAATACATTTGTAACTTTTTTATACACCTTATTTGACAGACTTACTTACTTACTTATGTGGCCATAGCAACCCGTTACCGAGTTTCGGCCTGACGCAGCATGTCTCCCTAGGCGCCTCTGCTGCGTGCGCGCCTTCTCCAGTCTCGTATATCAAGTCCAGTTAGTGCTCCCTCAACTTGATCACTCCACCGGAGACACGGTCTACCTCTACGTCTTCTTCCGCCAACTACTGCTTCAAACAGCTTTTTCGCCGGAGCGTCTTCATCCATTCTCACGACATGACCAAACCAGCGAAGCCGCTGGATGTTAATGCGCTGAATTATATCAATGTTATTTGACAGACTATCAACAGATATAGACAGAATACTGAAAATATTTTTATAACTGAATTCTGAGTATTCTGAGACATGTTAAAAAGATATACTCTTCTGCATTGTTATATTGTTTATATATTATATATCACGTGCTCTTTCCTATATGATTTCTCAGAATTGTCAGCTCTGTTGCATTTCGTATGTCTAGGCATATAAAAATGCGAAACTATCATATGGAATGTGTGAATGAATGAATGAATACCTTATGGACAACTACTGAAAAATTACACTAATTTTTTATCAAATTTATATTACAGCAAACAATTTTGGTCCATAAACCTGCTTAGCAAAAATACTATTTATAATGTTTATTACGGCCTGATTGAAATATCACTGGTGTTGTCCTGGCATTTAAGGGATCCATTAAAAATCTTTTGTGTAGCTAAATAACAAGAAAGAGGCTTCACTCGCTTGAAATAACTGCATATTCACATAATAAAAATGTGCAAGAGCAAAGTGCTATTTTGTGCGGAAATGTTTTCTATTTAGAATAGAATATTAGAATAGATAGAATTTTGAAGTATTATTTGTTTTGCAAGGCCAAGAGAATGTAGTGTGCATGACTGGTGTAATGTGTTATTTACATAAATTTTAGAACAGTCGTAATATTAAGGTTGAAGCTTAAATTTATTTTAAGTATCGCGTTTACAGTAGTTCTTAATTGCTTATATGTATTTCAAACTACTAATTAAATTCGTAGAAATAAATTTAAAATTTTATACTAAATTTTAATTTATAGAAATAGAACAAAACGAAATTTACAAAAACTATCAAATCATTTGGCAAACATTTGTGATATTTTTCTTTAATGCAGTATGCTTAGTCTTTAATCCATCCTCCATCCTTGTATTGCAAGTGCTTAACTTCAACTAAACACGTTATCCATTTTCACTTTATAATCACAAGTAAACAAATTATAGTACAGTTATATAATATTTGTATTTGGTGTGTGGTACATATTTTTCATTTGTGCTTTTAACAAACTCTAATGCAATTGCATTTACTCTACAGTTGTGAAGCCTTCCAACTGCTATTATAACATTTCATAACAATAAACTATATTAGAATTGAAATCAGTAATTCAGTTACATTAGCCAAATGCAATGAACCAATCAGTAGAACATTTTTTTTAAACTTAAACTCACTTCAACTTCACGCTCACATACAGGTTCAATTTCGTCGAGCGATAGTGGACACGGCTCCTACGTACAACACGACACAAATTCAGTTTATACAGCAGCCGATTGTCGTTTGCTGCAACAAATTTCCAACACTGCTACACGCAATTTAAATAGTCAGTGCAATAATATACCACTACCACTACCATCACCACAACCACAATCACAACCACAACCACAACCACTACAAACACAAGCACCACCTCCACCCTATATCATGCGAAATCCAAACTCGAATATCTTTCAAACACCAAACATAAATCCATACGCAGTGCAATGTGCGACTGCAAATGTTGCTGCGCCAATGATACATCACAATCATAGACATGCCAACATGCATGGTAAGTTACTGGTACAGTACGAATAGAATATATAACCAAAGCTATAACCAAAGCGAAACTCAAGATTCCAAAGATTGAAAAGTGCTCCGAACTTACAACAATAATTGTTAAAGATAATAATTATTTTTATGTGTTAGTAATTTATTTTGTTTATAACAGTATTATTAATTTGATTTATGTTTATTATTGTAAACCCTAAATACATAAGTATATGTCTATGTTATATATATATGTTGTTAAATTAGTTGAACTCTGATTAACCTTAATGTCCGGTATTGCGATCATTACAGAATATTCATTTAATGTTAACTGTTTATACTGTTTAATTATACTAATTATACGCTATCACATTTATCAACCTAGCGTGTTTTTCTGCTCTTTTACACCACAGCAGTAATATAGAGTAAAAATGTTCTAAATAGGTTTTTAGCTCTACTTAACTTAAAATTTTAGAAGCGGAAATCCAAACCGCTTTTGGAAAAATCTACCAAGAGTGACTAGCGACAACTATTCATCTTGTTATTCTTTGTCGTAACCCGAAGGGAGTAATAAATTATAAGATAAATATCTGTATGCGGATAGAAGATGGAGAACAACATCATAAAATTATTAACGACTATAAGCAACATTCTAATCATCTTATACAAGCATCTTACAATCATTTAACAACATTTTTCGAATTAAAGTTTTTCAAGCTACATAACACACTGTCCTTATAGACAGAAAATAGAATCATTAGGACAGGTTATACGCAAATCAACACCGCACGCTAATCTTTCCCGAAAGTTCAATTCAATTCAGTTATACTCTTCCTAGGTCATAGTACCTAATGAAACAGAATTATTCCATAAAAATCTATGCTTGTAATAATAATAAAATATAAGTATATTACATATTATATTTTCATTACTTTTTTGAAAATGTATATTCAAGTGGAGCGTAACATTCTGTTAGTAGACACGTGGGTGTTGTAGGTGTCAGTTCACAAAACTTCTAATATCTATTTCAAAATAAATATTTAGTATTTTGTGTTTTCTTTACTTATTGTAAGTAAATGCAGTGAGAAAGCCGCATAGTAATCATAAGTACTACAAGCAACTTATAGTGTAAATAAGAATCATAGATTGCGTTAATCTTGATTTACTATATTATTATAACGTTCGCAGTTAATAGAAATTCTCCACTACCGGCTGATAGCAATTAATTGGCCAATTGACTGCCGTAAATTCAAATCTGAACTGGTACCATCGATAGTTAGCATGGTTACTACAGGTATCGGTCACTAAAGTTTATCATTATTAAGCTGAATTCCTTTAATAGCAACTAACTACCTAAAAATTTTACAAAAATTTCTCAGATTGATGATAGCAAGTAATTGAAACTATCATGCACTAGTAACTTTCTACAGGCCAATCAGTCTACTTTCTACTACTGCTTTCATGTCAACGCTATTCGAAAAATCTTACTTTGCAGATTTGAACTCATATTAAGGAGAAAAAACTAATTCCTCTTATCAATTTATTTAATTGGCAAAAAGTTTTACGTAAGGTAAAGATGAAAATATCACACATATTCTCTCTGGTGGGAGACGTACTCGTGCCTCAAGGAAGCGTGCTACATTCAACCGTTTATCTCTTATACATGGTTGATATGCATACACCAATAATTAATGATGAAACGATTGCAGCTTTTGCAAGTGATATAGTCTTACTATCTGTGAATAAAGGTAACATATCACTATAGCACAAAGTAAGCTGCTAGCTTTCATTGACAAAACAATGTTTTGGTTCAAAAATATAAGTGGAAAATATAAGCCCACCCAGACATATCAGTTCAAGTTGTTCACATTAACAGAAAATATCAACCATGAAATCTAAAAGTTAAGACAACAGTTAAAATGAAAACACCAGCAAAGTGTCCGGACATAACCATAGATTTGAAACTATTCTAGAAACTATTCACATGACGAGAAAAAGGAATGATGGCAAACTTATATTTGAAAAACTGTACTGCGCTAGTTAAAATTAAATAATGATCTGCAACGTGTTTTAAGTATTATACTTCACGAAATCGCAAGAACAAGCATCACAAATCATATCAATAGACTATTGCCAAATGAGAATAATGAAATGCGGTCTATTCCACACAAAGAAATACGCACCAATAACGACTTCCACAGATCTTATGTGAAATCAAAATTATAGACATATACATTATGCTTAGCTAATATAAATTCAAACAATTGTTTGGATTTTAATTTATACTCACTAAGCGTTTATTTTAATTACTTATTGTATTATGACAATCGCAATAACTGTGAAGCAAAACAAAAAAAAAAGAAACAAATGTGTACGAATCCACGTTTATGTACTGTACATACCCCAATCTAAAAGTTGCTTCCAAATTTTTTTAATCTTAAACAGTTGGTTTAATAATGTAATAATCTTTAGAAACCAAAATATAAATACTATGCATATATAAACTTTTCATCTTTGAAACCTACACTTGTATTTTATTTAAAATATGTATTTATTTTAAAATCTGATTAATAAAAAATTTTACCTAAATTTTGTTAATAGGTGGTCAACCAAACTTTTTGGATGGTACAAAATGCTCAATGTGCCCAATGCCGCCAATGAATCAGTAGCAGCTTATTTAGGAGGAGATTTAATGTATGTATGCGAGATATATATATATATATTTGAGTAAAAATTAAATATTAAATATTTTTCTTGCAGATCAATTTGCCAAAATTGTTAAGGTTGTGTTTACGTGTCCGTATTTGTTATTTTTTGAACCTGTAGATGTTCGAGCTAAAAACTAACAAAGAGTCAGATTTTATTAAAAGTAAAATTTCATTTCATCTAAGTATATTCATCTAAGTATGCAGTTAATAGCCAACAACCCATAGCCAATAAAGTCAGTGGCAGTTTCGATCTACAGACAAAGTTCAAATATAAGCTATTACGTTTTAAATGCTAAGATTCGGAATTGTTAATGTTTTCAGCTATATGGACAACGGATTATAAAATAATTAAAAGACAAAAGTTTAATAACTCATACATAAAGATAGAAACAGAATCTTACATTCTGTAACTAAATTAAATTAATATTATTTATATAAAAAATTTACCAAAATAATTTTACAAATTATTTATAAATTTTACAAAAAATGTTAAAAAGTTCTGAACTCACCCAAAATGAAAGCACACACAAAAAATGTCAGTGGATAGACCAACATAATGGAATTGATTTTAAAGCTAATATAAATGAAATTTAATATTAAATCAATCACTTACAAAATCAGTTAATAACTGTTTTAAATATGTTGTTATATTCCAAATAAATATAATTATTAATTAGAAATAATGGAAATGGCGTAGCGCAAACTACAAAGCGGTTGCGGCAAGAAAAGCACCACAGCAGTGGAAAACTGGTATGAGTTGTTAGCCAGAAAGTTAATGCTTACTGTGTGCCAAAATTTTGCCAATTGTGCTCAACAAAAGTGCGAATCCTTATGCCAAGATTATTTCCAATTTTGTGACTGCTTTTTTATATACACACACATTTTATATAAATATGTATATAGAAATAAATAATTTTACTGTATACAATATTGCTTATAAAATGCTTATAGACATTTGAATATATCTATAGCATGCTCCCGTATACTCTCTTCCGCTGTTGTGTACTTCATATCTCTATCAGTCTGTTTAAAACTTGATATATTTTTTTAAATTATATATCTATATACAATTATAAATATACACACTCATATACAAAAATTCCAAAAATTTAGTTTTAAGCATATGCAAAGAATTGTGTAATTAATATTAAAATATTAAATTTTTTTATATAATATTTAAGTTTATCGTGTTTATAATAGTAGGTAAATTATATTAACTATTTGCTTATACAAATTCATATAAAGTGTATATTTTTTTGAACTTTTAATTTAATAATCTATTACGTTATCAAGAAATGTATATATAATTTTAATTTTTGTATATGCTTGGAATCAAGAAGCTTAAATATAATTTATTATATATATATATTTATAGTAAACAAAAGAAATTATGAATCTTACCAACAAACAAAATGTAACAAACAAAAAAGTACAACTGTATATTCTTTAATATTATTCTTTATTGTCAAGAGTAAATTTAATTATAGACATCAATATATTTTATACATATATATCTATATACATAAAAACACTCAAACTTTACATTAAACAGAATTTTAAATGAAATGCATACATATTTATACATATTATATATATATTTAATTGGGGCTTGTTACCATATATTAAATTTTTAAATTTATTTGAAAAGAAATTAAATTTATTTCTATCATACTGTGTATCGTTATATCAATGCTTCAATCAATGCTTTAAAAAACAAACAAATGGTTACATTCATTATGTTTTCTCTAATTTATACAAAAGAAACACAAATGTAAATAACTAAATTTTAACTAAAAATTATGTTTCAAAACCAAAATGTTATATATGTAATAAAATTCAATACTATGCTAAAAGAACTTAAATTCCGACTCAAATAATCTGTTGTAATATTTACGAAGTATACATTTAATTATTTTACGTATTATATATGTGTAGTTTATAGTATATGTTTTTTATTTTTAAATTTATTTATAGCAAAAAAAACTATTATAAAAAGTTTAAAAGAAAATTATTATTGTTATTTTTGACCAGTTTGTTTTATTGTTTAGCTAATATTTATTTAGGCTATTCTCCTCCTCTCCTGCTTTGGATACAAATAAAACTCAACAATTTTTCATTATATCATTTACCCTACAGTTCATTGTTTTTTTGCCAATACTTGAAGAATATTTGAAATATTTTTATTTTCTTTAATGTTTAAAATTAAAGCAATTGCAAAAATAAATAGCAAAAATAAAAAACAGTAGATAATTATATATTCATATGAATTTTAATTTAATGGCAATCATATTTTTATAATTCTTTTAATAAACAAAGAAAACATTATTTGGCAATTAAACGGAAAGGTTTATCAATAATTGATTTTAAATTTATAATTAATATTATAATTCGTAAACTTTTGTAATAAACATTATGTTATTGACAATTGAAGCACATAATAATGTGAAGAAGGAATAAGTCTCCTTTTTTTTCTTCACATTCCCTGGCTATTCCCGCGAATAGAACTCCCTTATTCTAAATTGCTTAGCAGACAGCTGTTTTGGTAATAACAAAAATTTCAAATTTCTTTTGTTGAATTTTGGCAACCATGGCACTTTTTAATGGCGAAAAGTTCGAAAATGAACAGAAAAGAATTGTGTATCAAATGTTTATTTAAATTTAAAAATCGCATTATTTGTCTGCAGCACAAAGTGTCAAAAAAAAATATAATGAATACTTTATAAGTAAATAATAGAAAGCTTTTATTTTATTTATTTCTTTCTTCTTTTAAACAATAAAACAAAATGCCTTATTTAATAATTGGAATTATTAATGTTTCAAACTATTCTTCTATTTCTAGGGTCGATAATCATTTTTATAATTAGGATAAAAATGTCCTTCAATTAATAACTATTATCAATTAATAATAATAGTTTCTGATTGCGCAAATATTACAATTTAAAAGAGCAATGTTTTACCTGCGCATAATTACAAAAGATTATTTAAACTTATTCAAGGAATCCCATTCACAATAGTTAAGAATAGTTAAATAAATTAAAATTTAAATATATTAAATTTATTATAATAATTTTATTAAAATATATTCGAAAAACTAATCAACCCTTGTAGATAAAATAAAAAAATAAAACTTTGAAAATATTAAATTTATTATAATAATTTTATTATAATAATGATTTTATTAAAATATATTCAAAAATCTGATCATTATAAGTTACTTTCATATATAATTTAACTTGTGGCGGTTGCATATTCACCACTTAATATTGAATATGAGATGAGTTGGCCAGGCAGAAGAATTTGTAAAAAGCTAAGAATATTTTTATTTAAAAAATGATTGTCATTCGTACTAGTGCTGTTCACATTATTCGAAGTTTTTAAAAAGTTCTTCGAATATTAGAATATTCGCATTTCAACGAAGTCTTCGAAGTTGGAATAAACTTCGAAGTTTTTGTGAATTTTTGTTCTCGAAGTCTTCGAAGTTTAAGTGTAGTGAAAAACTTCGAAGACTTCGAAGACTTCGTAAGCAAAAGGTGAAGTGAGAGCGCAAAATGCAAACAAACGTGCATCACACAAATGATTTGAGGGATGAAAGCATTTGCTTCGTTTGTACGGTTTTATGTTTTGTTTTTTTTTTGGTATTCTATGCAGAAAATTAAAAACATGTTTTTTTGTTTTATTTTATTACATAAAATTTATTTTATTATTAAATATGTATTATAATATATATTATTATTAAATATGTTATTATTAAATATTATTTATATTAAATAAAAAATTTACATTTTAAATAACTTATATTTATTATTTATATTTAAAAAATCATATTTGAGAAAATTTTTAATATAATATAAAATATATACGTAATAATATGAAAATATTGATATTGATGGATTTTATTAGTAAAGGAAATTTTATAAAAGTTTTCATTTTTCTTTTAAAAAAAATCACAAATTAAAACCTTGAAAATTAGTTATGAAAAAATGAGTTTTGCTCATTAATGCATAATTATTTGACATGTATGAGCTGTGATGATCACACAGGTAAGCACAAATTTATTTTTTGCATAATAAAAAAATAATTTTTGATTTTTTTATTGTAAATATAATTTTTTAAATATAAATAATAAATATAAGTTATTTAAAATGTAAATTTTTTATTTAATATAAATAATATTTAATAATAACATATTTAATAATAATATATATTATAATACATATTTAATAATAAAATAAATTTTATGTAATAACATAAAACAAAAAAAATCATGTTTTTAATTTTCTGCATAGAATACCAAAAAAAAAACATAAAACCGTACAAACGAAGCAAATGCTTTCATCCCTCAAATAATTTGTGTGATGCACGTTTGTTTGCATTTTGCGCTCTCACTTCACCTTTTGCTTACGAAGTCTTCGAAGTTTTCGAAGTTTTTCACTACACTTAAACTTCGAAGACTTCGAGAACAAAAATTCACAAAAACTTCGAAGTTTTTTTCAACTTCGAAGACTTCGTTTACTATTCGAATATTCGAATTCTTCGAATACTTCGTAAATTCGAATATGAACAGCACTAGTATGGAATGGAAAATGAATAAAGAATTCATGTCACTGCTTAAATAATGTAGTTAAGAGTATCGTTAATATCGTCGTCATTTTAGACGGAAATAAAAAATATTCTTGTTCTGCAATCATTTGTAATCATATTTTAGAGGGAAAATGCTAAAACAATTTCAGTACATGCATTTTGTTAACCAAAAAACGGCGTACATCAAATTGAAAAGCGAGATTTGGTGTTGGAGCATTTTAAAAGGGGAATTTCCCACCGTAATATAACTGAAATGGTAAATCTAAGCTAGTTGAAAACTTCGTACATAAAAATCGGGTAGAGAATAAGGAACGAAAAGCTCCCAATAAAATTTTTACAGTAAAAGAATCGAGATGATTAGTAAACCAAATTCCAAACAATCCAATAACAAGCACTCTAAAGTTCACAAACGTGGACAAAAAAGACTTAGGAAAGACTTGTCATCCTGAAGCCGTCCGCAGGATATTGAGAGAATCATATTTTAATGGAACAATAGCTCGAAATAAACCTTTTGTAAATTCAAAAAATATAATGAAAAGTTCTAGCTTTTCGTATACAGCTGTTGATATCGTTAGTAATCCCTCCAAATGCTTTCACACTGCTGCCAAGATATTCAAACCTTCATACATCCTGGATCGGTGTTTGATTTGTTGTCTTAATCATTCATTCATCCTTTCCAGCACCACATCCATCTGTTTCAAGACCATTTTGGAAATTTATAAATATATCCTCGTACGTTGAAATGATGATATTTAATTTTTTTTTATGGACTCGGCAATCAGCATTTTGAAACATGTGCTGTTACATGGAAGATGTTTTTCAAACACATTTTCGTGTACTCGAGCAGTTAAAGTCTTTACAAAAAAACTAAACTAATTGGCGTAAAGCGCTCCTTAGCCAAACAATCAGAATTGCTTTATGTGCGTCAGGATCTTTTGGAGAATACAGAGTAGTGTGTGATTAATTTGTCATTGGCATTCACAATAATATTGAAGTTTTACATAATGGTATGGAAAGTAATGTCACCTATATATTTAAAAAGATTTCCATTAACACAAGAAACTGTGGCAGAATGCGTAGAAGGTTTTGAACTTCTCGGATTTCCATAATGCTTAGGAGTCCTTGGTGTGAACTTATAAATTTAAACGTACTTACAAAAAATTATTTAATAATAATTTTAATTAGATGGATGCTGTATTAAAATACGCCCAAACCCAGAGGATGCAGTTGATTATCACAATTATAAAGGATGACACTCAATAGTTTTATTAGTTTTGGTGGATTTCAGGTCTGTGGATTAATATTTTTCACCCCATTTTAAATTAAAAACAGTTACTAGGTATCGTTTCATGTACATTAATGTGTGAACTTCGGAACGTTGTAATGATTTGTATATACATATATGAAATATCCAACTTGAAAAATATGTTGAACACGTGCAACTTATTAACGAGAAATAGGAGAAACATGTCCAACTTGGATGTGCCAGTATATATAGT